GTGAGTGTGTGGGGCAGGGGGAGAGTGAATCTGTGGGGCAGGGGGAGAGTGGCAACAACGGAGGTGGGATGGGAAGGGTGATGTCAGCCCTCTGGGTGTGGGGCAGCGGGGCAAGTGCGCAAGCGCTTTGGCCCGCAGGCCCCACGAGGGCCGTGGGGCTGGGAGGTGACGTGGGGCTGGAGGTTTGCCCTATGGCACTGCCTGTGCCGGAGGGGGATTTCCATTCCCTGCGCTCTGAGCCTCCTTTACCAGTTCGGGGTTGGGATGTGGTGGCGATACCAAGGCCGTGTGGGACGTTGGAAGGCGTGGGGCTCGGATGTTGGCACCTCTGGGCTACCTGCCACAGGAATGCCATCCCTCCGGCTTGCCCAAAGGATGCCCAAACCCTGAACCCGGCTGATTTTTAGGGCAAAAAAAATCCCACCTGGGCCTGGCGTGTTTCTGGGCGTTGCTGGAGAGCTGGGAAATCCCTAAAGTCTTGTCTCACCTGAAGTCAGGGGGATCCCTCCCTGGGGTTTTATCCTGGGGGATCCCGCCGTGAGGGTTTTATCCCGGGACTGGCCTGCAATCCCTGCTGCCACGAGGGAGCCATGGCCCCGGGACACGTGGTGGTGGCTGCTCCGGGGCTGGAATTGTGGTTGCTGAGCTCAGCTCTGCCCAGAACAGGTTCCAAGAGTTGACTTCTCATCCAGTTCCTTCCCAACATTGTTCAAGAGGGTTTATTTAGACTTTCCTGATAAAATCAAGCCTAACAGAACCCATCACGCTCTTAACAACTTCTTTTTTTTTTTTTTTTAACTTTATGGTTTTTTTTGGTTTTTTCCTTTTTTTTTTTTTAATGAAAGAAAAGAGGAGGAGGGGGACTGGTCAGGAGCTCTGTTGCCCCACGTGATAATCGACCCACACCGTGGGTGCAGTTCCTTCCTCTCCTCACCAGAACTTGTTGTTTCATGCCTGGACTTGGGCCACGGCTCCCGAGGAGGAATGCTGCTGGATTTGTGAGAGCACAAACTGTATCTCGGGGGGTGGGGGGGTGGGGGGTGTGAAACCAGAGTCATGGAATGGTAGGGGTGGGAAGGGACCTCTGGAGATCATTTTCTCCAACCCCCTGCCAGAGCAGGTCCACCCACAGCAGGTCCCACAGGAACGTGTCCTGGTGGGGTTTGAATATCTCCAGAGGAAACCCCCCCACTCTCTCTGGGCAGTTCTGCCACCCTCAAAGGGACATTTTCCTTATTTCCCATGTCCCAGTTTGTGCCCATCACCCCTTGTCCTGTCCCCGGGCACCACTGAGAAGAGTCTGGCCCCATCCTCTTGCCCCCCACCCTTTAGTTCTTGCTCAGCATCGATGAGATCCCCTCTCAGTCTGCTCTTCCCAGCTGAACAGCCCCAGGTCCCTCAGCCTTTCCTCAGCAGAGAGATGCTCCAATCCCTTGATCATCTCTGTAGCCTCTGCTGTCCCCTCTCCAGCAGTTCCCTGTCCTTCTGGAACTGGGGAGCCCACAACTGGTCCCAGTGCTCTAGACGTGGTCCCACCAGGGCAGAGCAGAGAGGGAGGATGACCTCCCTGGACCTGCTGGCCACGCTCTTCTTATTACACCCCAAAAAAACCCCAAACCCTGTATTTCTCAGACCTGTGCCCTTGGAGCAGCAGCATTTTGGGTGTCTGCCTGGCATTTTGGGTGTCTGCCTGGCACCTCTTTTATCCGTGGTCCCTAAAACCATTGTCAAAGAGCTTTTCCTGCTGCGATGGAGGGCTGTGTATAAATCCCACCGGCATGTTCATCGCTGGGCAGGAGTTCAGCGAGGGACCCACCTCCTTCAAAACACAAACCGGGGAGGTGGAAGAAGGGAAAAGTCAAAGCTTGACGATTCTCAGAGCTTTTTATTTTTTTTTTATTTTTTTCCCCCAGACCTGATCACCCAGAGGCTTCTAGCTGGTGGTGGGGGCGTTGGGGATTCCTGCGCTTGGCAATTCCTCTGCCTTGAGGCAACACTTTCTTTCTTGGGATGTTTACTCTGGGTGAAAACTCCTCCCGAATACCATCGCCCTCTCGCCCACGGGCTCCCAGCCCGGGTTTCTCCTCGTGCTTTGCGAGGCTGATGGGTTGAGTCAGGGGTGGCAGCCCTCACCTCTGTGCCGGGGGGCCGTGCACTTGAGCTGCACTTGCTAAGGCTGATAAACCTTATCGTGGGCTTGGGCAAGCTCTGCTGAGGAGCTGGGTCATCAACAGCAGTGAAATCCTGAGCCTGAGGGGGCCTTTCCCAACAGCAGATAAGGCTGGGTTGTTGCTGTGATCATCACCTCCACGGCCTGGTGGAGTTTAAATGGGGAGGAAAAAGGTGGTGGTTTTTTAATTCTCTGTGTTGGGATGGGTTGCCTGGTCTCAGTCCCTGAAGACTTTCAAGACCAGGGTGGGTAAAGGCTTTTGTGGCGGGGAGGTAGAAGCAAGTTTTTGGGTTTTTTTGTTTTTTTTCTTTTTTTTTTTCTCTTAAGCTGGCAAGAAAAGCACTTTATAAACTCACAAACCCTCCCAGCTGGAGAAAGCAGCAGCGGGAGATGCGGAGCCAGAAGCTGGTGGAAGGAAGTGGATTTGGTTCCTCCGAGTCAGGGGCTGGAGATGGTCCCATTCCTGGGGTTCCTGGGCTGGCTGGGACTTGGGGGGTGGCTGTGCCTCTCGCTGTCCATTTGTCTGTCCGGGCAAAGCTGCGTGCTGGGAAAGAAAGGAGGGGGGAAATTGCCCTCTCCATGGCCTGGTTGGTGTTTTTTGTGGGTCTGAGTCACGCTCTGCAGCCCCGTGACCTGCTGTGGCCGGTTTGGTGCTCACACCCTTCTTTGTACAAGCTCGGGAAGTGTCCGGGGAGGACAGGGGGGGGAATGGACTGGCTCAGGGGACACTGGGACAGCTCGAATCTCTATTGTTCCAGCCTTCCAAGGCAGCTTCTGACTCACGGCAGAAATATTTGCTTTAAGAGGCAGGTTTCAGGCTTGGGGTGAGGGGAAGGTGCCTCTGCCAGACTCTGTCTGCCGGGCATCATCCTTCCCTCTCACACACGGAGATTTATATCCCTTTAGGGTGGATTTATATCCCTTTAGGGTGGATTTACATCCCTATAGATCCATGGGGCAGCTGTGCTGGTTGAGATGCCAGCACTGTGCCTCTCGGGTACCCAAATACTCCCCCAAAACCCTGCCTTTTTCTGTCGAGCATCGTCCCCCCGCAGCCGGGGGTACAAAAAGAGCTGAGCCAGCAGAAAAGTGCAGGGTGAACCGGCGGAAACGGGGCCGTTGGCTTCCCGATCCGTGGCAAAGATACCGGGGATGATGCGGAAACACCGGAGGCCATGCCGTCCCCCGGGAGCCCGGAGCAGGCCCGGGTGTTTCTTGTGGGCACGGGAGCCCCGTACCAGCCTTGACACGGGGCCGGTTTCCTCCCCACAAACGCCCTCCCTGTTCCTCTTCCCCTGCCCCTTCCATTTTTATTTTTTTTTTTGCTGCCGTGGGGTTGAGGAGCTGAGAAATTGGGGAAGGAAAAAGGGGGCCCTCCTTTTTCTGTCGAGCATCGTCCCCCCGCAGCCGGGGGTACAAAAAGAGCTGAGCCAGCAGAAAAGTGCAGGGTGAACCGGCGGAAACGGGGCCGTTGGCTTCCCGATCCGTGGCAAAGATACCGGGGATGATGCGGAAACACCGGAGGCCATGCCGTCCCCCGGGAGCCCGGAGCAGGCCCGGGTGTTTCTTGTGGGCACGGGAGCCCCGTACCAGCCTTGACACGGGGCCGGTTTCCTCCCCACAAACGCCCTCCCTGTTCCTCTTCCCCTGCCCCTTCCATTTTTATTTTTTTTTTTGCTGCCGTGGGGTTGAGGAGCTGAGAAATTGGGGAAGGAAAAAGGGGGCCCTGGTGTTATCCTAAGGAAGCGTTCAGCCAGCCTTTGCCTTGCTGATAACCCCCACGGGGGAATCCCTCTGCAAACCTCCTCCTTGCCCTTTGCCAAGGAAATTTGCTTCAAGATCCACCAGGGTAGGTTTAGACTGAACATTAGGAAAGAATTTTTCACACAAAGAGTGGTCGGGCATTGGAATAGGCTGCCCAGGGAGGTGGTGGAGTCACCATCCCTGGATGGGTTTAAGAACTGTTTAGATGTGGTGTTGGGGGATATGGTGTAGGAGAGAACTTTGTAGAGTAGGGTAGATGGTTGGACTTGATGATCCCAAGGGTCTCTTCCAGGTTCTATGGTTCATCCATCCCAGGGAAAATGCCCTCCACCTGTGTCAAGGGGAGGTTTGGCCACCAGCTCCAGCACCTCCAAGCCACCCCAGAGCTCCTCTCCCTTCACCTGAGAGCGCTGGGCAGAGCAGCTCTTGCCCGTCTCTTTCTTGGGATGGTTTTTAACTCCTGTGTTTTGTTTTTTTTTTTTTAACAGGGGGCTGTCTTGGAAATTTCTGCAGTAGCACTGGGTAGGAGGGACAAGTTGGATCCCTTGGACCCCGGCAGGGGAGAAGAGTATTACTATGTCCAGGAGAGCAACTTCTACTGCAAGAAGTGCCCTCCAGGTAAGATGGTCTCAAACGTGGATCACCCCACCTCCAGCCCTGCTGGGTTTCCTTCTGGCTCCTTGCGGGGGGGGGCAGTGGGTTCTCCGGCTCTCCTCTGCTCCCCAAACCTGGTGAGATTGAACCTGTCGTGAGATCCAACACAGGAAGGACATGGACCTGTTGGACGGGTCCAGTGGAGGGCCATAAGATGCTCAAAGGGATGGAGCCACCTCCCTGTGAGGACAGGCTGAGAGAGCTGGGGGGGTTCAGCCTGGAGAAGAGAAAGCTCCGGGTGAGACCTTAGAGCCCCTTCCAGTATCTGAAGGGGCTCCAGGAGAGCTGGGGAGGGACTCTTTGTTGGGAAGTGCAGTGACAGGACAAGGGGAAACGGTTTTAAATTGGAAGAGGGGAGATGTAGATGAGATATTAGGAAGAAATTTGTCACTCTGAGAGTGGTAAGAGCATTGCCCGGAGAAGCTGTGGCTGCCCCATCCCTGGAGGGGTTCAAGGCCAGGTTGGAGGGGGCTTGGAGCAACCTGGGCTGGTGGGAGGTGTCCCTGTCCAGTGCAGGATGATCTTTAAGGTCCCTTCCAACTCTAACCATTCTGTGATTCTATCTAAGGACACATTTAGGAGAACATGTTCCTTGTGATCCTTCCAAATTTGCCTCTTAACCGTGTTGTCTGCAGAATCAGGTCCCTTTCTGTGAAGACATCCCTGTCCTCTGCTGCCTGGTCACAGATTCACCCTTGCTTTCCCCTCTTCTTCTTGCAGGCAAGTACGTTGCTGCTCACTGCAAGGAGCCCAATGGCTCCAGCCTGTGTTTGCCCTGTAAAGAGGACGAATCCATCGGGTACCCAAACGAATACACCGAATATCCAAACGACTTTTTGAAGTGTCTCCCCTGCCGGACGTGTAGGGAAGGTAGGAGCTGGTGGTGGAAGAGGGTGACGCTGGCTGGTAGCACAGGTTGGGTGGGATCAGCTGACTGGAGACCTCTCTAATATTTCAAGAGCACAGTCACCTCCAGCGTCCCCCAAAGAGTGGCTCTGGGTCTGGAATGGGTGTCATGGCTTGTGCCAGACCTACATCTCCGTTTGCTGCAGCATCCCCTCCTACAAAGCTTGGACACGAGACCTCCATCCAGCCTGGACCAGGGTTCACGGCAGCGTCGTAGGCTGCTGCTGGTGGAGCTTTGATGCGAGCCTTGCTTTTCTCTTGGGTATGGTGAGGTTTTGGGGGCAGGAGAGGGGAAGGTGAAGGCTGAAACTCCGTAGCAGAGTGACATGTTCTTCCCCAGGCTTGTGGGTCAGCCCGGGTCGTTAGCTGCCTTAATGAGGGAAGTGGGTGGAGGAGTGTGGGGCGGTGGGGCTGGGGTAGAGCCCTCTCCTCTTGCCCCACAGATGAGGTGGAGACAAGTCCCTGCAGACCCACCAGCAACACCCAGTGTGCCTGCAAGAGTGGTACCTTCTGCTCCCCGGACCACCCCTGTGAGATGTGCCAGAAGTGCCGGCCCCGGTGAGTTGGGTGCTGTGGCTGGGGGTTGTGGGGGGGCCACCAGGATCTGTGCTGCCA